AAAAACAGATCGAAATAATCGATTATTTGGAGTAATAATCGATTAAAACAGAGCCAAATACTTCGTAACCCAACCCTCTCTGGAATAATCGATTATTTGGTGAAATAATCGATTATCCGTACGGACAGTGTACAAAACAATCGATTCTTTTGCTCGTTTTAATCGATTAAAACAAGTGAGTTTGTATAGTAAAGTGTTTTCTCATCGCTTTAATCGATTATTTACCTATATAATCGATTAAACCCGAGCCTGAATGATAAATTTGAGCTTTTTGAAGCTTCTAAGTTACGTACTATGTACCTGGCTATCTTAGACTCTAAAAATACAGACTCAATCTTAAATAAATCAGAGTTATTACAATACAATTATCACCAATCTTCAATCTTCAATATTCTAAGTCTTTAGTTCTTGGATCATCATCAAAATCCATTCTTCATATTCATCAAGTGCAACATCAAGTCCTTGAATTGTCAACAAATAATTGAAGCCTATAATGACAATTCTCTTAATCTGATAATAATTGAAGCCTATAATGACAATTCTCTTAATCTGATAATTATTGAAGCCTATAAAAATGTAATAGGAAAAATTAATTAATAATAAATAATAAAAATATAAAGGAAATAATAAATAATAAAAATAATAAATAAGTTATATAAGTAAAATATTTAATAAATAATAAAAATATTACCAACTGATTATCTCATCGAGTAATTTTGTAAAACATTTAGCGATCGGATATATCCAGTCGGTAATTACCGACGGACTATTAAATCCGTTCGGTAATATTTACCAACAACCAAATTTCTGACAGATTTTTGGTCGTCGAAAATTTGTCGGTAAATGGATATTACCGACTGGATTTTTGTTATTAACGACGCAATTTTGACCGTCTGTAATATTAAAATTTCTTGTAGTGTTGGGGGACTTGCGCAATTCACCGCGGATAAATCCTTAAGGGCAATGATTATATATGCTTCAGGAATAAAGTTTATTTGTATCTTTGTCGACTTTTATAATAATATTAAGTGGCTTACAACCGACAATATGGATACCAACAACAACTTCATTAAATAACATATTATCATGGACAATGTTAGTCTTCTTATTATGACATAACGGAGGGATTAAAAGAACAAATTCTCATGTATCAAGGTTAGTCTTCTTATTATTATATGATTCATGTATGCTATTATGTGAAAATCTAAAGGTCCCGAAGAGTAGTTTTCTAGTAGAATTCGTAGGAAAACTTAAAATTAACTTACATGTGGTATCGAGCCATAGTTATTCTATTTATGATTTTTCTCTTATAATATTTTTCTCAAATTAAGATAAACCCTAAGTATGAATTTAGGGATTTCTCTAATGACCTTGTAATTCTTATTGAAACGTGAATGACCCCATAATTGATTTTAAACCAATTTCATAGCTCCTATGTGTGAATAACTTGTAATTCTTATTGAAATCATGCAACGTGTGCATAAAGCACACACCATGAGTATTATATGTTATGAGAGATATTTTTTGGTAATGAACAAGTAGCAGCTTATGTATGCATGATTTAAATCTACATATTATTTTGTATATACGTGTAGGATATTATTTTGTACATACCTATAAGAAAGGGTTTGAGATTGTATGAAAACAATAGATCTAACCCCACCTTACCTCCAACAAGAAGGGAAATTGCTTTATTTGTGGAAAACCAAGTCATCATGCACCTCAATAAGAGACGACAATCCTCCTAAGACAAATTTAGTCAAACAAGAAGATAAAATTGTTGTGGTTATTTCCCAAATAAACCTTGAGACAAATGTGAGCAAATGAGTGGTAGACTACTGGTACTACCATGCACATCTCGTGCAAACAAAAGTGTTTTTACCTCTTACACTAGTGTGGGACTACACTAGTGTGAGGATGGAGAAGAACATGTTTATCTTGGTGATTTCAGGACAACTTCTTTCTTAAAGAAAAATTCTTCTAAAACTCACATCCGGAAAGACTCTAGCCTTGAGTGATGTGTTACATGTACCATTAATCAAGAATATTGGAATGCACTTGCAAGACTTATGAGATACTTAAGAGGTTCAATGGATTATGTCATTGAATATAGTGAATTTTTCGTTGTACTAGAAGCGGTACAGTGATGCTAATTGGATATCTAATTCAGATGAGACAAAATCTACTAGTGGTTATGTATTCACACTCTGGTGGTGGTGTGATTACATGGAAATCGGTTAGCAAACAATTATTGCAAGATCAACAATGAAATCTGAATTTGTTGCTCTCGAAATGGTCTGGTAGTGAAGGTGAGTGATTGAAAAACTTCTTAGCAAACATTCCATTAGGAATGAAACCGATCCTGTTTGTATCAATTTATCGTGATTGTCAATCGGCAATAGTTATAGCTAAAAATAAGAACTATAATGGAACAAATAGACATATACAATTGAGACATAAATTGCGTGAAGCGATTGCTAAAGAATGGAACATTTTTCATTAACTATGTGAAGTTAGAACGAAATCTAGTAGATCTTTTGACAAAACCCTTAGCGAGAAATATGATTTTAGAAACATTGAGAGAAATGAGACTTAAGCCACTTGCAAACAAACAAGTGATGGTAACCCAACCTTTATGATTGGAGATCCCATGAATAAGGTTCATATGGGTAAAAATAAGTCACTTGTTAGTTTTGTTAACACTAAAATTGATTAAAATCAATTATGCTCATTCCTATGGTGTATATGTGAAAGTGCTAGATATTACATTATTAAGAGGTTAAACTTTGTAATTAAAGTTCTATGTGGTGTACTGAATTTTAGTCTAAACAAAGTTTTTAACGATTTCATATCCCTTACGGGTGGTATATGATTTGCAGAGATACGCTTGATGAAGTCACCTATATGAGTGTCAAGTGGGGCTGCTTATAAGATATCTTTGCAAGATTTCTAGAACACTCATGAATACCGAGTATGCGCATGGCCTATTAAGTACAACACATCGATAACAACAAGAATTATGGAGATGTATTGTGATTGTTAAACCGTTAACACACACTAAGTGTTTTGGTTCATATAGCTTGCTACACCAACTACAATTTGTGTTAAGTTTTCAGTCTAAGACTGATTCATATAATTTTTTATACCAGACTTCGATGCATTACATCTTATGAGACCCAAGATTTTCTTTTTTTATTCTTTATCTCTTTTGTTTTGCAATATGTAGGGATTCTTTATCTCCGTAACAACGTTGTCACGAGAGAGAACATTGTTATAGACGGAGAGAGAACGTTGTTACGGAGAGAGAATGATGTTACGAGAGAGAGAACGTTGCTATAGAGAGAGAACATTGTTAGCGAGAGATATTGTCACGAGACAAAGAGAGAATGTTGTTATAGATAGAGAGAACGTTGAACGTAGGTAATTAAGGTTTTGAGGTCAAGATTTTCTTTTTTATTCTTTATCTCTTTTGTTTTGCAATATGTAGGGATTCTTTATCTCCGTAACAACGTTGTCACGAGAGAGAACGTTGTTACGTAGAGAGAATGATGCTACGAGAGAGAGAGAACGTTGTTACGAGAGAGAATGATGCTGCGAGAGAGAGAACGTTGTTACGGAGAGAGAATGATGCTACGTGAGAGAGAGAACGTTGCTATAGAGAGAGAACATTGTTACGGAGAGAGATTGTCACGGACAAAGAGAGAATGTTGTTATAGATAGAGAGAACGTTGAACGTAGGTAGTTAAGGTTTTGAGGTCAATCTAAATCTATAAATAAAGACTATTTCACACTCTTACAAACATACATCACTACAAAAAATAATGGATTTATCGACGTACAAAATTAGTCGATAACAATAAAAATTCGTCGGTAAATATATATTATCGACGATTTACCGACTGAAAAGAATTTGTCGGAAATTTCATTGTCGATAAATATTACCTACAAATTTGAATAGTTCGTCCATAATTATTGACGAATATATCCGTCGAAAAGTGTTGTAGGTAATTACCTGACGATATATCGATCGAAAAGTGTTGTAGGTAATTACCGACCGGATATATCCATCAAAAATATTCGTCGATAACACCTCATTTCTTCAAGAATCGAAGCCATAGACAACTCTAAAGCCCGCAAAACGACATTTTTCAGATTCGTAAAGCTACACAATCTACGCACAAATGCTAGTAGAGTACCGAACTATAGCATTATCTTATACTCATCTAGAGAATTATTCAGATTTCCATGCCAAATATGTTGTGGGGGCTTTAAACTCTAGAAATCTATGTAATTAAAATCGAAAGCATGCACAGTGGTGTTGCACATTGCAAACAATTAAATCTTTTAAAGCTAATTCCAATGCAACATCTTCTCGCTTCTACATTTGGATCTGGACAGACCTTGTTAATATGGGAATCGAATGTTTGTGATGAATGCATCCTATTATGCATTACAAATTAACTCATTAAATCCTCTACTACTATCCATATTGCAGGTGGAAATTGTAAGTTTAAGCATCATTACACAATATAGAGCATCAAAAAATGGAAGGAGAATTTGATTTATCTTTCCCCAACATCGGAGTGAACAAAATAGTAGACCCTAGTGTTTTCAACCCCGCAAACCCATATCCAACTTAAATCAAAATAATCCCAAGCAGACCCAACAATTAAAGATCTAAACTGATCCAGACTCCGCATCAAATGCATAAATCGATCATAGCCAACAAAAACAAACATGTACAAATAGAATCCAATTTCGGCCCAACAAAATCAGTTCATCCAAAACATAAAAGAAAATTGAACCAATCCAAGAAAAAGAAACCAAAATCAAGGAACCACCTCGGCTTTTGGTCGATGACCTTGCATCAAATCACTAGCCCGCAATTCACGGTGGCCGCCGAGGGCGTCGTGGTGAGCCGACTGCGGCATTGAGCGAAACTTAGGTGGCGTGCAACGGTTGTTGGGTTACAAGCAAAGTGGTTGAAGGAAAAGCTGCTGATGGTTCATGGTGGTCGACACGGTGCTTTGGCTGTAAGGGTTTCAATGGTACGTTGCGGTTTGAATTGGGTTCGCAGCTCCGGTGAAGGGAGGCGGTCCGCAATGAAGATGGTTGCGCCGCGACGATCTAGGGTCGTGTGGTTGGTGAGGTGCGGGTTAATGTCGGGTTAGCTTTCTATAGCTCTTTGTATGAGCATGATTAAGCGTGTGGTGATGACTAGATAGTTCTTTGGCTATGTGTCCGATGGTAAATATTGTTTAGTGCTTGTATATGATGTGGAATTATGTATGAATTGATTTATTTATTTCCCTTGATGCATTGGAATTGTTTTTGAAGTGTTTCGTATGGTATGTGAGTTAGTATGTATTTAAGAGAGCCGAAATGAGGTGTTTAGAATTGTTTGGCTAAAAACGGGGTTGTGACTCCAAAGAACATTCGAGCTTCCAGTCCAGATTGCGTCAATTCCACCGTTGGATTTGCCTCGAAAGTTGAAGAATGTGTTCAAGACATTCTCATCTAAATTTCCACCGTTCAGGTTTTCGTTTGGACTTCTCTATGGGGAGAAATAAAGCTCTAACCATGACTCTATTTCAAATACGCTGGAATCCCGAACAATCTCGGTAAAATCACGATCGTCAATTCGTTAACCATTGGATCGGTCTCAAATTTGGTATCAATTTCCTGAGACGTGGTTTTAAGTTTTGACTGTTAGAATTTTCATTGTTAGGTTTATGATGGGAGAAGTAAAGAAATTCAATTAAGAATAAAAAGGGCAAACTAGTCCTTTAGTATTTAGTTGAGGGGCATTTTTGTCAAAAATTTTATATTTATTTTAGATTTCTCCCAATTCAACGAAGCATGCAGCCTCTTTCTTCTTTTCTTCTTCTTTATTTTCTCTCAAACCCTTATATTTCAATCCATAAATTGAAGGCTAAATCTTGATTTTCTTGACAAGATCCAAGAGGTAAGTTTGTTCCTCTCAATCTTCTCTACATTTCTACGGTTTCAATTTTTAATACGGTGCATTTTCATTTTTTCTTCTCACTTGGCTGGGCTTGAATGAAGTGGGAAGAGTATTATCATGATTTCATTGTTGTGATTTTACACCTAGAACACTAGAATCATGTTTGAAATTCTGGAACTTGTGTGAACAGAATTAGGAATTGGTGTCTTCATAAACGTTGTAGGAAATTACATTCCCGAAATTTGGAAACTAGTTTCACATCAAACGGATATTTGAAACTTAAGTTATGTCTATTTTACTCGACAAGTGTTCTAGCTATGACGTTAAAATGTTTCCATTTTTTCAATAGCCTCGGTTTTTGAATTTCTGGGATTGATAATTATAAAATTAGGATTTGATTTCTTCATAAAGGTTGTAGGAAATTATATTATCAAAATTTATAAACTTATTTCACATCAAATGAATATTTTTAGCTCGAGTTATGTCCATTTTATTGTCGGGTGTTCTAGCTGTGACGTTAAGATGTTACCCTGTTTCAACAGCCTCAGTTTTTGAATTATTGGGATTGATACATGTGAAATTAGGAATTGATTCCTTCATAAAAATTGTAGGAAAATGTGTTCCAAAAAATTATGAATTGGTTTCATATCAATAGCTTATGTGTAACATGAGTTATAGTCAAAATACCAAGACATGTTCAGAGTGTTATTGTAGTTGAGCCTTGTTGGAAACAACCACTGTAAACTGAAAATTGCATTTATTCTATAGGGTATTTGAATTTATTTTCTTCATCAAATTTGTATATAAATGAGTCCTTGAAAGTTACAAACTGGTCTCATGTCAAAATATTGAGTATAGGTTGAGTTATGCCAAAAACATTGAACCTTGTTCATGTTTACTAATAGGAAATTAGTCTCAAGCTTTGGAGAAAATAAACGTGGACGTACCAAGTAAGGGGAGTTTGTCCTAACCTCTTTGTGATGATTGGTGCAATGATAATTGAATGAGTGGGTGTTGTGTATTGGATGATTGTGCTGAATAATATGATGTGAAAGTGTTATGTGGGACCGTGTGTCATATGGAGCTAAGTGCATTGAGAAATATTGATGTGTGTTTGAGTTATGATTGATCGTATGATTATGAACTATGTATGTAATTGAGACCTGTATGCTCGAGATATGCAAACCGGACTTTGAGGGTCAGATGGTTTTGCTAATTGAGATTGTATGCCTAAGATGTGCAAACCGGACTTTGGGGGTCGGATGGTTTTGCTAATTGAGATTGTATGCCTAAGATATGCAAACCGGACTTTGAGGGTCGGATGGTTATACTAATTGGGAACCCGACTGTGTGTCGTAGTTTCCCGAAAACAGCTGTGTGCTAGATGTTTCCTAAAGGCGAGGCTATATTTCGGATGTCGCCTAAGAGAATGAATTGGATATTTATATTATTGTCTTATCATACTCTATCATTAGAGTTGTGAATTATAAATGTTGATTTTAGCTCACCTTGCATTTCTTTGTGATGTGTTCTCACTGTGATCATACTTGGTACGGAGCAGGTGATACAGGTGGAGTCTCGGCTACCTAATGGGATGAGTAAGCTAGGAGGAGCCGAGGGTGGGGGAAAGTTTGGGCACGTAGCTCACTCCCCATAGATAGGAGAATGACCATGAGCTTTATTGTATTTTGGAATACTTGGCTTTGTACCTATTTGTATTTGAAGGATTGATGTATTATATTTGATTATATATATATATATATATATATATATATATATATATATGTTTTAATGAATGAAATTGTATTATTCGGAAGAAGAAAAAATTTGGTCTCATGAAAAAAAAAATATTTTTCGCATATTTAACGCATGTCGATTCCTTATAAAAAAAAAAAAGGGGTCGTGACAGTTAACCCGGAATTGAGATGGGGAGGGTCTAGCGGTGGGTGAGCTAGGGTGAGATGAAGGTGGGCTACGTGGAGGAGGCGCGACAACGAGGGTTCGAAGAGGGTAGTTCGCCTAGGCTCATAAGTGGCTCCCGATTTTGGCATGGTGGGTGAAAATAAGCAGCTAGGGTTCTAGAAGAAGGAGATGGGCGCAAATAGGGAAGTTGGAAATGGTGATGGTGAGGAGGAGTGGAGATGAAAAGGAGTTTGGGTTAGTAAAGGTCAAATGAGGGTGCGGGTATAGGGTAAAGATGAATGCGTATGTAATGGTGACTCTTTTGAGAAGTTGATGGCGAGGAAAGAGAAAATGAAGGGAGGGATTAAAAGAGATGGTTAGAGATGGGAGGTGTGGCCAAGAGAGTAAGTGCGTGAAGGTGTCGCTGCTAAGGTTTCCAACAAATATTTAATTTTTTTAATTAAATGTTGATTTTTAAAAATATACTTTAAATTACGTCGGTAATGTTTGTCTGTAACTAATTGTTAATTTATCGATGGATATATTTGTTGGTAACTAATTATTAATTAAGCGATGGATATATCCATCGATAATTAATTATTCATTTACTGATCGGATATATCTCGTCTGTAAGACTACATTCCACAAATACTTTAAATGCGTCGGTAATGTCCGTCAAGTAATCACTCATTTTTCGATTACTACATATCCATCGGTAACTAATTGTTAATTTACCGATTAATATATCGATCGGTAATTAATTGTTCATTTACTCGACGGATATATCCGTTGGTAAGACCAAATTCCACAAATACTTTAAATTCGTCTGTAATGTTAATCAATAATCACTCATTTTCCGACGACTACATATCCGTCTGTAACTATCCGTTGATAATTAATGATTTTCTTTTAGTGTCTCTCTCATATTCTCTTCTCTATTTTCTTCATGTTCTACTATTATCCCGAGTTTATTTACTTCTTTAAGAGTTTCTTGCTAGTTTCGAGATCGTCGAAAATTTCAAGAAATTTTGTCGTATCCTCGAGGACTTGCGCATTACACCACAAATAAGTCTTTAAGGATAATAATTATACACGCCATAAGGCTAAAGTTCATGTGTCTCCGCAGTTTTTACAATTATTTCTTAGTATCATTTTGTGGAGATTTTTTTTAAAATATTTGTATTTTGCAAAGTTTAAAAATATATTAATTAATTACTTCTTTTTACTATATATATATATATATATATATATATATATATATATATATATATATATATGTGTGTGTGTGTGTGTGTGTGTGTGTGTTTTAATTTTATTTATTATAAAGAGATTTGAAATTATTTTAGATGAAAAGAATAATAAAATAATAAGAACAACGATAAAAAAAACTAACAAATTTATTAAAAATAATAAAAATTATTGTTTATCTTAGATTATGTTGTCTAACTTTAAATTACACATTTAAAAACGAAAATACTTCTGGTTTATTATGCCAATAACAAAATCATTCATGATTTCTTAAATTAAAAAATATAAAATATAAATTTATTATGTCATATCATACTTAAATAATTTATAATTGATTTTATTTAAATAAATTTTAAAAAATACATTCACATATAGTTATTATTATTTTTATTTAAATTAAATATTAAAATATTTTTATATTATTTAGATTAAAAGAAAAATATATTATATTATTATTTTAATTAGATAATTATGGACACTATATGAATAAATGATAGAAAGATTAAAAAAAATAGTAATGATATATATATATATATATATATATATATATATATATATATAACAAGAATTTTATCACTTTTTTCATTTATAACTTTTTATTTTTTTTAAAGTTTTTTTTTAAATAACTTATCTTATCTACTATTCTTAATATAATATTTTATTTAAATCTTTCAATAAATAACTTTCATTATATTAAGAGAGTAGTTTGTCATTCCATTGCATAAATGTTCTTGATACAATAAATAATAATAAAAGCATAAGAGTCAAAGAGGTTAATGAGGCAAAGTCACTAGCGTTAGTAAAAAAAATACTATATATATAAGGACCCAAAGTTCTAAGATCCATCAAAATGCTTATACAGAATTTTGATCACGATAAATAAAATTATGATGCGTACCTAAACATACCCCACTTTCAGAACATATTCAAGGTAGGGTAACTTAAATGTTTAAACTAAATATTAATTATTTAAAATATTTTTTTATTATTATGCAGTATGATAAGTTATTTAATATTTTTTTAATTATTTTATTAAATAATTTATAAAAATAAACAAATCAAAATAAACGAGAGTAGAGTGTATAATGAATAATTAATTCCTTAAAATTTATTAAAAAAATTCATGAACTGAAATTAGTAATGGATTGCTCGTGGCCGCATAAATTCTAGTTTTATATTTTTTAACAATTCATATAAAATTTTTTTATTGAATATATATCTTATTATTCTTGTCATAAGAGAAATTCCTTATTTAATATCATATAATTTTTTCTAACAACTGGACTCCTTTTAATTGGATTTGTGAAAAGTACCACTAAAATAATAATAATAATAATAATAATAATAATAATAATAATAATATATAATAATAATAATAATAATTTGAAAGTACATATTTAGTGAAA